GCCTGTTACGCCTGTTACGCCTGTTACGCTTGTTACGCTTGTTAATTTCGCTGCTACTTTACAGACATATTGAAAGATTTATTTATTCATATTTGTTTTGCTTTTTAAATTTATTGTAAGTGACTCGCAGACTATTGCCTGAACCGTAACGAGTTATTTTTCCTTGCTTTACGCCCTCTTCAAAACAGCTGCTCCAATTAACTTTCCCAACATTATGGGATGCGTATTCCTCAACAAACTTCATGGCGCTGATCTCAAAGTTGCTTGGCTTGTGTACCTTGGCAATAGCTGGAGGCTCCTCCATCGGCGTGACACTTTCCTTTGGAACTTCGTTGGCACTTGCAGTCTCCTCATATTTCCTTTTCAATCGTGCACTATACTCTCTGCCATCTTCGGTGTACCGCAAGGCCTTGGATATCTTTGGAGGTTCGTCTTTCAGGCAATCTTGAATCTTCTTATACTGTGTTTCGTTTACTTCGCAGATCGTTTGCAAAACAATAATTCTTTCATCCTGTTCTTTTTCTATCCCCTCAATCGTCTGTCTTGCAATTAAGTACAGTTGCTGGACTGTTGGATCATCCCATCTTGTTAGTGTCAAAATGCATCTTTGTTTGTGCGTTAGGAACATCGTGAAAGCCACTAGTGGATGCAAGTTGTTTTCATCCGTGTGGCCTTGTATGGTGGATTTCGAGAGAAAAAGGCATCGATTTGCCCAAAATGTACAAGACATCTCATACATGAACGGCTGCTCCATACATGGCTTGAATGTGTCCATTAGACTGCTTGGAGACACTCTTTCGATGCAAACAGTTACTAGGATAGGAAGCTTCTTGTACATCCGATATGCATGGAGGCAGTACTGTATTGCGTGGTTCATATAGTCCTGATTGACTGTACACTGGATTTCAAGTATAATCGGTGGTAGATCCCTTTGAACGGCCAAACGAGGCAAGTACAGAACATCGCATCTCATAGAATCTGGCCACTCTGTAGGAGCAATGCAATAAGTATTGTCAGCAACATTTAGTAACGACCTGGTGATCAGGTCGATGACTGCTTGATGCTTCGCCACATTCTTGCTCAAAATGTCACTTCCTGGACGATAATCTTCCGGAAGCTTGTAGGTAAGCAAATCATCCGACACTGGTAGAACGGTCAATCTGGAATGAAAAATTACCTCATTTGTTAAAGAAAGATTTACCTGTGTCCATGGTATTAAATTAGGAAAAGGAGGAAGTCGATCAAAAATTTTTAGTCAAACGGTTTTATTTAAAATCCGTACGACCTCTGTACTACCTGAAGCAGGCGTAACAAGCGTAACAGGCGTAACAAGCGTAACAGGCGTAACAGGCGTAACAGGCGTAACAGGCGTAACAGGC